TGTGTTTGATATTATGGCTTTTCGTGTGTTTGAGTTGTTAGGTTTTCTAATTTGCTGTTGGTGAATCAGCAAAGTCCTCCAAGACGAGTGCTGTTGTGACCTAAGGCAATACAAGAATAGATTGAATTGGATTGGATAGTCGTGTAATATGCCTTGTAACATATCAGCATTCAGCGATGGTTCCAAGTTTTGCCTTCTCTGAGAAGATCTGCGGCGGGAAAGTGGTACGTGTTCGCGAGTGTCCGGTGAAGGCGGCGTGGATCGCGGGGGCCATTTTATGTCGAGGTGTCTGTCCTCTCACTGAGCTGGCATCACACATGCTCTGCAGGCTGCTCCTCACTGCTCCAGAAGGGCAAAGCAGGGGGTCCAAGAGGGCTCCTAAAGGGGTGCAACCTGCTGGAGTCCGCAGACATTTTTGAATAAACTTTTACTTTATATTCAGCGTCAGCAACTTTATGGACTTGAATTAAAGACTGTATATTTATGATCATGTGGCACTTTCATATTTTTCAACCGCAATACACTAGTTCCTTGTTTATTGACAGGGTTATGTTCTACAAATAAGTGAAATCCTTAGTCGCAGCTGTATGTTTTAAGGCTGTAAAACCCCTCACACACACTTTTCTATAACTCACGATTGCTGAAGTGCGATCGCAGAGTTATCAAACCTGTTCATTTTAGGTTTGAGCGATGCTGCAGCTGTCAAAAGTTTTGCATACACCATCAAATTTAACCTTCATAGTGTCTGTTTTGGGGGTGCTTCAATGCAAGTCCAGTTAGTCAAAGCAAGTGTGTAAGAGGGGAGGATGATGAGGTCCTGGGGGTGAAGAGAGGCCCCTATGCGTTTTCTAGTTTTTCACCCATTTTGCCTTCCGCTCTGCCTAAGTGCTGCTATAGAGAGTCATGCAATACATATACAGTATAACTAGGTGTTGACATAGACCGTGTATAAGTAGTGGACTAACACAGTGTTTGCCAAATGCTGAAGAAGCCGATTTCTTTGGGCACTTGCTCTGATGGTGTTTGCTTCAAGCCGTAACAGGGGCAGACGTGTTGCTAAGGTGGTTGCTAAGGTGAGTTGGAGATTCCCCTGCCAATGAAGCCAGCTGGTTGGTCTGTGTGGTCCATGTCTGCTATTCTATTTACATATGCAATATCAACATAACAACACGAGGGACATTAAACCACCCATTTTTATGCCCATATTGGTGAGTATGAAACAAACGGTGGCTTTTGTTTGGCTAGTCAATCAATAGAAGCGAGTTGGAGCAAAACTTTGTCCATGAGCACTTCTCAATTGGGCTTCAGTGAGTTAAAGGGTAAGTGTTGTCCATCTATATACAGGCTGTGACCAGTATAACATAACTTCTTTACCTGCTCTTTTCACCATGTTCCTTTTCTGTCTCCTCATGGCAGTCAGGACGTTTTAGAAGTATTTTTTATTAGATTTTTGTGAAATCGCTCCTGGTTCTGTCAGTTCTTCTTTGAGACGGTCGCCACGCAAGCACACTTCACCAAGATTCTTCAGAACGCACCAGACGTCCTCTCATCAAAGGGACAGGAAAAGTATTTAAGGACGGTTTTTTTGACATTTGAATAAAGATGAAAGAAAGTTTAAAAAAAATGTAATTCTGGGAGCGAGAAAAGAATCACCACAGTTTGCCAAATTTGGGCAAGCTGATAAAAAATAAAGCAATACTATTGTTGCAGGATTTCAGCTTATTTGCTCCAGTGTCTGTGTAGATTTAAGTAATACAAGATATCTATAAATACATGTTTGTTAAAGCTGCCGTACCTAACTTCCCATAGATAATAAATGTTGTTAGTCTCAGTGACAAATCAGACCACAACATATTGTCTTTATCTTATCTGAAAACATTATCTTTTATATACTTTGAGTCACTATTTGACGCTTTGGGCAGAGTGCTAAGGGTGGTTCTCGTTTTCTATTTTTCTAAAGTTGTGACAGAGGCCAAAACTTAGGATCACGGTGTATGGATTTTATTACATATTTTATTGCTAAATTATTTTGTAATTGGTTTGCAAGTTAGGTTCCCCAGCTTTAATGTGTGTAATACCTCTACTAGACTAGAATTTCCTCCAAACTCACCAAATCCTCAGATATTCATTTTAATTTCGAGTTTGAAAAGTTCCCCTTTTTTTTTCAAAATGAGTGTCAACCAATCAATAAAACGTGTGTCCCTTATATTTCTGTTTACACATTAAACAGAACTAGCAAGGTGTAATTATTTGTACCAAACAGTATATGCAGTGGGGTGGTCCCATCTTATGCACTGACCCTATGTGGTGAGGTACCCCAAGAGTTCAGCCCTTAAATGATATTTGTTTTACTTCATGGTTATGAGTACAGTTATGCTTGGATTGAAACAGAGCTGGAGAAGCTGTAGACTGATTAACAGATGTTTTAATATTTTGTTTAATTATTACCCTTTTGGGTTTAATCTTTAGTCTAAGTCAGTTGTTTGAAATGCATGGTAGCTCATAATAAGACTTCATAAGATTTTGACTCTTGTTCAGCTTCATTTTATTTGCCATTTGCAGTAAAACCACTTTGGAATACATAAGCAAAAGTCCACAGTGCGCAGAAGATTAGTACATACTGTAAATAAAACAAGGATAAAAGTACAGAAATAAAGCAAACAAAGCAGGAAACAATTGTGACTGTTGACTCCCATTCATTCATTCATTCTCTGACCAATCATGAGACCAAATCGCAATATATCACGATAAGGATATTTTTGGCACGCCCTTTGGCACGTATTTCAACATATTATTGAAGTTCCAGCGGCGAGTTTGGCTGTGGTCTACATACTGTGAAGGCCTGTCTGTTTGAGAGAACACACACGGGTTTATGAGGAGGTCCCTGAAGGCTGCACGATGCGTTTGTGGACCAGTGCCAATGCCGGAACCCGAGCTGCACATTCAGTTCGTTAAGAGCTAATGAATGTGTAGGAAAGGCTGTGGAATGTTCTGACCGACTAAAGAGACATTGTAGAGAGATTCAAGTATTGAGTTGAAGCAGTAAGGTTGTGTTTAAGCTCCAGTATTTCAGTATTTAGGGCAGGTGCCAATATAACTCTATAGGAAAGATAATGTATAAGAAATATTGAATAAAGTAATGTCCAATGTCCATGTTTGCTCATATCATTATTTGATAGTGATTATATTCACAAAGCCGCCATATCTTATGTCTGAAAGTCTGTTCGACCGGCCAACACCATGCCAGTAGAAAGTAACAAGAAGGTTGTTACGTACATTTTCTTTCTGCTCCAGTTTCCCCTGCAACTAAAACATATGCAATAAGTATAATCTTCAGTCCTTACCAAGACGAGCAACAATATCTGGAGATGGGTCCCCAGGTGCTGCTCAGGCCCCTGTCAGGAGCAGTGGTCCATGTTGTACAGCCTCGTTCTCCTTTGGTTTGTCTGTTCGAAACATTGCTCTGACTGGGATCGACGTCTCCCGTGTCCCTTCACTCAGGACGACCGCTGGTTAAACAGGAGCCTTCCTCCTGTCCTCTTCCTGGCCCTTTGATCGACCAATCAAGGATGGGAATGGCGAATCGAGTTAATTACAGCTTAAAAATTATTTAATCGTAATTGATTGCATTTTGAACAATCAGCAAAATTATGTCATATTTTTCTGTAAATGGTTGTTTGAATGGAATAAATGACAACATGGTGTACTATGTACTGTATTTGTTTATTATAACAACAATAAATTCACATAAAATTGCATTAACATTATTAACAATCTGTCTTTCTGTAGTACACAGTGATTTTTCCTCCAAAAAAAGCAAAAAGAGGGCCTCTTGTTCAGCAACAGAAAACTGTCTACAGCCAGAGAAACCATGTTAATATGTACAGTCTATGATAGAAAATGTGTTCATAAAATGTGTATTATTACATACACAATAGTAGCTATAAAGTCACTTGCATGACGCTGGTTCTCCTCCGTTGAGGAGCAGTCACGAACCGGCTGCGTCCTCTAGCGTCTATGAGCATGGAAACAGAACAGCATGGCAAGAGAGAGTGGCTATACTTCCTCTGGCTGTAACTGCATACACAGGAAAATAGCCCAAAAGACGCAAAAATAAGGAGGAGAATAGGCAACTAGAGCGAAAAAATTATCGAAATCAAGCCCAGGTGAACATAGCTAGCTAACATGGTATCCTCCGGAGAGACCTGCGGGAGCGGGACGCAGAACTAGCGGTAATCTTTCAGTCATAGCAGTGCGTTGTTTTTACTTTTCATCAGTGATTGTTGTACAGCTTATAAGAAGTTGTGCTAATGCTAACTAATGCCTATCAGATCACTACTAAAACTACATGGCTCAGTGGGAGTAGAGCGTAGAGGAGAGTAGGAGGGTTCCTTAAAATGAGGAGCCTGTGAGCGGCACTTCTGAGTGTTATTATGGGATGCATGGGCGGGTCATTCGGCACATGTGTCAATGCGTACATTTTTTAAACTCGACTAAACTAATTAATAATAATTTTACAGCCCTAGTAATAATTAGTAGTACATCTGCTACATAAAAGGTGCATAAGTCTTCTCTTCTCTCAGTGGCACCCTGAAACCTACAGGTTGCTGGTTGAATCCCCTCCCAAACCCCCTACATATACTTGTTTTGTGGCTTGTCTTATTCCCTAGTTATTCCCTAGTGTGTTTCTTACAAACCTTATTTTGAGTAGCACAGTCTCTCGGTCTACAAATCACATGGGTAACTTTTTATATGTGTCCTTGGGCAAGACACCCCACTCCCTGTATGCCTGGATATATGTGAATGTGTGAAAACGCCATTCAAAAAGTACAGTAAAAAAAATTGCATTATTAACCCTAAAATTTTTGCTAAAATGAAAAGTTGTGTAGGATCAATTTTCCCTTCTGTGTCTTATAGTGAAGGTATTTTGGTCCATAAAAACTCTGCCCGACGACAAGCAGCCCGCCTCCGTCACTGTCGCTACCAAAAGGCCTTGAGTGCTAAGATTTATTTTTAAACTGAAGATCTGCAGAAACAAGAAATAAAGCAGACACAAAGAAATATATAATTGTTTTATTTTTTGAAATGGCAAAAATGTGATCATTCCACTTTAAATTGTTCGATCAAGTCATTTGTAAGCGGTAAAATCACACATGCATAGGGACATTATGGATTTATTGATATTGTACGTATTGTAGTTGTTAGGCTCCGACAAATACATAACAATTACCTCCCATATACACCTTTTCAACACCATCGCAAGAACTTGTTATCCGGTCGAAATCTTCAAATCTGTGGAGGAGAACAAAACAGTCACTCCAGGTGTTAAAAATAAAGGGGGAAAAAAATGAAATAAAAATGTCTGCTTAAGTGACAATGTGGAAACCTGCTGTGAGCAAACGAGCCAGTTTTGAGTTCTGCGTCTTTAGTGACAAAACTGTCTAAGGTTCTGAGGATTAGGGATTAGTCTGATGACGAAGAGGAGCAGAGAAGAGAGAGCAGCTGTAAGAAGTAGTGCTGCTACTACTACTGTACAACTACTGTACTACTACTACTGCTGTAATACAACCACTACAACTACTACTACTACTTCTACTCCAATACCTCAACACATTCTGCTAGATTTGCGTGATTCGAGAACAACAGTAACCAGCCCTAGCAAGTAGGTAAGCAATTGCAGCAAAAGTTGTAGTAACAGTAGCAGTAGTAGTAGTAGTAGTTATAGTAGCAGTAATAGCTATAGTATCTCTCCATGGCCTCGCACCAAACTATATTAGTGACATGTTAGTCCCATATGAACCAGCCCGGACTCTGAGGAGCACAGGGACTGGACTCCTGCTGGGACTCTGAGGAGCACAGGGACTGGACTCCTGTTAGTGCCCAGAGTCAGAACTAAACATGGGGAGGCTGCTTTTCAGATTCATGCTGCTAAAATCTGGAACAATCTTCCTGAAGATGTGAGACAGGCCTCCTCTCTGACAATGTTTAAAACCAGGTTAAAGACAGTTCTGTTTAGCTGTGCTACAACTGAGGGATTTTATATTTTTATCTTTCTTTTTAATGTCTGTGATTATTTATGATTTTAATGCTTTCTTGTTTTGTTCAGCACTTTGAATTGACTTGTATATGAAATGTGCTATATAAATAAACTTGCCTTGCCTAGTAGCAGTAATAGTTGTTGCAGTACTAGCAGTAGTACAGTAGCAGTAATAGCAGCAGCAGTAGTAGAAATAATAGCAGTAGTAGTTGCAGTAATAGTATAGTGGTAGTAGTAGCAGTAGTATAGTGGTATAGTAGTAGTAGTAGTAGCAGTAATATCATCAGTAGCAGTAATAGCAGTAGTATAGTAGTAGTAGTAGCAGTAGTAATATCATCAGTAGCAGTAGTATAGTGATATAGTAGTAGTAGTAGTAGTAGCAGTAATATCATCAGTAGCAGTAGTATAGTGGTATAGTAGTAGTAGTAGTAGTAGTAGTAGTAGTAGTAGTATAGTGGTAGTAGTAGCAGTAATATCATCAGTAGCAGTAGTGTAGTGGTATAGTAGTAGTAGTAGCAGCAGTAATATCATCAGTAGCAGTAATAGTTGTAGCAGTAATAGTAATTTCAAGTTTTTCAATTTTCAATTCATTGACCTTTTTTACAATTCAAAACCAATTTCAGGCAATGGTCAAAATAAGGACAGAAAAAGGAACAGGCAGAAGCTAAAGCTAATAGACACCTACCCTTTAGTACACATTAAACTTAAACAGTAGAATAGTACTAGCAGTAGTGGTAGTAGTAGTATCAGTAGCAGTAAAAGTAGCAGCAATTAAAATCTAGCAGTAGTACTAATAGTAGCTACAGTAGTATTAGTAGTACATGTATGAAAAATATGATTAATTCTTTCTTTCCTTTTCTCTGTGAAATTACGTGTGATGATTATAGTTTTTGAAGATTGTTGATGTGGAAATGTTACAGGAAGTAGATAATTGCTCTTGAGTTTCATAGGTTATTATATCGTTTGGCAGAATTTCCTTTTGTTTCTCTTTTCTACTGGGCACTTTAAACAAAACAAACCGGATCGTTACTATAAGAAGCATGGGCCGACACCGCAAAAAATAAATTTAATATATGTTATAATAATTTGAGCATGTGTACACCATGCTTTAAAATCCAGCGTAACCTGCAGATTTGTTTTAATACTAATATTTATACATATATTGTTTTATTCTGAATGAGGCAGACAAGTTGCTGTGCGTTTGACTAAAACATGTTTGTGTCACTAGAGCCAAATATAACGAGTCTTGTGTGTGTGAATGGTTGGCGGTGGTCGGAGGGGCTGATGGTAGCCCGGTCGCACCACACCATAGTACAAATTACATTTCATACTAAGGTCTGGATTTGCTCCATTAAGCTCTGTTTACAGGTGGGAGGGGTTAACTCCTTTTGCAGATTGAAACGATTGGATCTGAGTTTACCGTGACGTATGTAGTGCGCCCGAGTGAGTTGTTAGCATTTAGCATTTAGCATAGCCATCTCCTTTGCCGCTAACGGAGCCCGTGGGGAGTAGTGCCACAATCTTCCCAGCAATTACCTTTGCTAAACATTCCTCTTGCTCCGGCTTCAATTGCTTGATAGAACCAGACCGAAATACTTTACTATACTTCTTCCACATTGCCAAACCACAACCGGCCCGTTCGGCGCAAACTCTTGACGTCACCCACAACTAACTACAACACCCGCCTCCAAAGCTCTGTCTGATTGGTCGGTCGAAATTCAACCGATTGTAATCGCTAACACAGGGACCAGACCCAGACGTTACATGCAGTGAAATTATAACTGAGCGGAGTGTACGGATGGTTAAGGCCAGGCTAGGCTGATGGCACATACTGTTTGCCTCGCTTCTCTCAGTGTGCCCCGGGGCAGCTCTGGCGACTGAATGAATAATGACATGTGGAGCTTATTTGAGTGTCCAAAAAGGATTTATAAAGCAGATTTATTATTATTATTTGCTAAATTAAGATCTCTGTCTCAATATAAGCCTCCTCAAAGGTTTCTCGCTGTTTTCCCCACTGGGTTGCTCTTTTTATACAGGAGGATCTACAGTAAAGACGGCCATGATTTAATTTAATCTACACAAACTGGAGTATGGATGGATATATAATCTGGCCGTATGCCTTTTTTATAACAGATTTTGGTTGATTTTATTTTCTATGATTCGCAATTTGTTTCATAATCTGCTTTTTTCGTGGTACATTATTCCTCCAACCCCCCTTTCGCCCCTCCCCCTCCTCTTCCTATCCCTCTCCTCATTTACATACCCCCCTTCACCCGCTCTCACCCCCCTTCTCTCTGAGGAAAAGCCTGGAGCGTGAACGCCACAGCAGCGACAGGATGGAAGAGCAAGTTGGAAAGAAGAAATTCACCCAAGATTCTTACCCGAAATGTGGCTTTGGCAGAGCAGGCTGCAGACGGACGACATTCTGGGGGGGAAAGACAAAATAATTGTGGTTAGTTGTGAAGCCATTACATAATTTTTGGTTGTGGTTCAAAACATGTCGTTGAATTGGTGTGGCTTACTAACCACTTAACCTGCTAGTAAGGTTTAAAGGAGACATTTGATGCTTTTTCAGGATTGCGTTGTTGTTTTCTGTTTGTTGTGAGAGATGTGATGCGATTTCAGCCGCAGATTTACATGTTTTTAATCAAGAATCAATTTAATGTATTAAACTAAATGATTTAAGAGGCGGCGCAAGACAGCAAATAAGGAGTAGGTTATGTGGGGCCAGGTGTGTGTGTGTGTAAGTGTGTGTTTGTGTGCGTGGTCACACAGAGAGCTGTAGATTTTTTGAGCACCATTATTTTTCCACGCGTTGCCCCCGATCGCAGCCTCCGACCATCACCATGATCCTAACTTTAAATATATGTCCCAAACCAGGGGTGTCAAACTCATTTCTGTGCGAAGTTGTAAATGATGACAAACTATTCCATCAAAGAATATGGTTGCGTCAAAGGATATGGTTATATTAATGAGAAAATCAGCTTTAAAGTGATGTAGAACGTGCCATTGTAGCTCATATGAACCTGTTACAAGTTATTCATAGAAATTGGACGCCATTTGAAGGGATCAAAATCTGCATAACCCTGCTACTGTGAAATAGAATAGAATATTCTTTAGTCCAAATGAGTCCTTACAACAAAAACATATCATTAAACTATTGACAATCACATTCAGAAATGCGACAATCTACAAGTGCCACTTAAAAAACTCATTTCAAAACCACAAACAAAGAAGATTTGGTTATTGTGAGTGTCTAGTGTATTTTTCCAAGGACAGGATGTACAGTGTTCCGCCCACAACAGGTTTGACTGACAGCTCTACAGTAAAGAATGCATCCACCTCACATGAACCCAACGAGGAGAACGTGCAGATCAGACTTTTTAGGCCTCGTAAATGACGAAAAATAAAATGTACATGTGCCACTGTGCTCTTAACCAGGCTTAACTTTACTTTCCCGGTTGCCTTGGTTGTCTACAGCAGTGTTTTTCAACCAGTGTGCCGTGGTACGTTAGTGTGCCTTGAGATGTTATTCGGTGTGCCTTGGGAAATAATCCAATATCACCTACTTAAAAAAATAATTAGAATGATTAGAAATATCTTCTCTGATTATCTATACAACACACTTTGACGAGAATTAGTTTGTTTTGTTAATAAAGGCTGCAGAATTACATCAGTTTGCGTGAGTCTCAGCTGGTGGTGTGCCATGTGGTTGTTTTAAATGGAAAAGGTGAACCACGGCTCAAAAAGGTTGGGGAACACTGGTCTACAGCAATAGTTTATCACTGCTGTGTATGGAGTTACTAAATAAAGCCATGTGAAGAATCTTTGAGGGAGAAAAGTGCTCTACAATACCAATGCTTAATTATTATTATTAGTAGTATTCGGCCTGAGCCCCGATAGAGGTAAGGCTCGCTTTCCCAACAAGTAATTATTATTAGTGTTATTGTTATTATTATTGTGTGACTGTAATGAACCATAGTTGGACAAGAGGAGAGGTGTTTTGCAGAGTGGTTCCTCCGTCTGGTATGACCTCATGTACAGATGTCTTTTGTTTAGTCTGCTGGTTACGGAACATATGTGTACACGGAGCATTGTAACTGTTTTGGGTCTGGGAGTAATTAATAACATGGTTTTCAAATGTTTTCACTGTACACTAGAAAAACAATAATGACATGAATTCAACAGGACTTTACATGCACAATGAAAATCTATCAAAAATACCATATCATTATCTGTGGTATAGATTATCGCTATAAAAGCCGACAGAAGCAGGTTTAACTTCAATATTATGCATATTAAAATTTTGTAGATGTTTTTGACCATTTTCAACAATTATTTCTCAAGCAAGAACTTTTAGCTAATGTGGAAACAATTGACAGACATTGACATAGCATTTCGACCCTCATTACGGAATAATAACCTGAATATCAAAATATTTCAAGGATTTTGGCCTGGACCCCCACTGCAAAAAGAAATCCAACATTTAGCATAACTAAATATGATATTATAAACGTCTTTTTGTGTTATTGTTCTAAAAAAACAGTTGTTCACAATTGTATGGTGTTTTAGTTTTTGTTATTCAAAACTTGATATGCAGACGGCTCCTCAGATGGTGCTTCCTCTACTGGCTTCAACCGGTACCCAGCCCCTATGTTTTTCTTCGGTTTTACCTATTTGACCTATTTCTGGTTTGCGTGTGTGTGTGTGTGTGTGTGTGTGTGTGTGTGTGTGTGTGTGTGTGGGTGTGTGTGTGTGTGTGTGTGTGTGTGTGTGTGTGTGTGTGTGTGTGTGTGTGTGTGTGTGCGTCTGTGTGTGTCTGTGTGTGTGCTTAGATTGATTGATGAAAATGGGGATCAGAGAAATGGTCGACTTTGCAGGAGAAAATGTATTACTGCAACTTCCTGGTTTTAAGTGACTATCCTACTAATTGTTATTTTTTTCCCACTTTTTCTTTTAATTTCACCATTTATAATAATCATTGAATTTAAAGGTGCACTTTATTAATCCCCGTAGTGCAATTCATCCTCTGCATTTGACCCATCCGGAAGCCGCTAAGCCTTACGCCAGGATGCAGTGGTCGCCGTAGTAACAGCGCCCGGGAACCCATCTCCAGATATTGATGCTCGGCTTGGTCAGGACTACCGGAGGTGGAGGATTTAACCTAGTGAGCATGTTTTTAGTGGTAAGGGAAACCGGAGTGCCGGAGGAAAAATACGCAGGCACGGGGAGAACATGCAAACTCCACTCACTAAGAACTTTGATGATCCGAAACCCTTAAAGGACAGTGGATCCTATGTGTTTGTTATTATTGTGTTTTATCTGATTGATTCTCTGATCTGTAGTTGTTGTTGGAGAATATTGTCTACTAGGATCCAGGGATGTACATATAAAATTGGATATTACCCAGAAATTGTGTACTGTGAACAAGTGAGCACTATAATAATACAAAACCAATAGATTAAATTGGTAATGTTACTTTTCCACAGTCTTCCACTGATACCAAGCACACAACTTAGTAAATTTCTCCATCGTGAGATCAATGAAGTTTATCTTATCTTAGCTACTTTTAAGGCAAGACCAATTGAGCTGCGGCTAAAAGCAATCCACGCTTTGCATTTCAATTAAACCAACCTAAGCGCTCTAATTATGAAAGATACTATTATTAATCAGCTAAATCCACACATATTCACATTTTGCCGCGACCGCTGTTTGTTTTTGTGTCTCGCTCCCTAAGGATTCCGTGCGTAAGCGGTACACAGGGCCCTAGGATTACATTAATCAAACTGTTTATTTCCCACGAGGCGCCCGGCTAAGGATCGCGCCAAATCCCGACAAAATTGGATAAGTTACAAAAAAAATTGAAAAAAAATTGCGTTATCTCTGTGAGCTTTGCACAGGTTTGAGATTTGAGTGAGACAAAAGATCAAATGAAATGCTGCTGCTGCGAAAAAGTGGGAAATAGAAATTGTGTTGTGATTTCTGTGTAGGCTCTTAAGTCTCGGCCCATATGTCTCCAAAGCCGCAAGATTATTGGTGAAGCCAAAAGATAAATTCAATAAATAGTCGCAAATGTTCCCAGTTTGGCTTATTGACGGTGGTGATCAGAATGTATTTATAAGCCATCTGTAGCCATAGAAAGTGACAGGTTAGGTCTGCGGAGAGGCGACCCCATCTGCTGTAAGAAGGCATGTCTGTCAATGGCTACAGTTGAAAAAAAATCAGGCCACATACAGCCCCTTTAATATTGAAAACATGTGTATTTTAATGGGTCAAATTCCATGTTTCTTGTTTGAATTCAGACAAACGACAAACATTAACTGACAATAATTAATCTTTGTTTTAATTGCCACCATATTAATACTTTTACATTATATTTCTTAATTGGTGACATGTAACACTATGAGAACAGTCACTGGTTAAACAGAACAATAGTACTTTTCAAGGCTTCAAAGTGCTTTACATCAAAAAACCACTCACCCATTAGTCTTTATCATAGCCCAGCATATGCAGACTCTCACATATGAATTCTGGGTTTTTTTAACCAGCAGACTCCTGAGTGTCTTGCCCAAAGACCCACGGCAGGCGTCACTAATGGGAGCTGGATTCACACAGCAATGATGCACTGTATATTTATTATTGAATGTATATTTCATAGATTTTGTTTACATGTTTTTGTGTGTGTGTAAAGTTCTCTTTAGATAAAAGTTGGTTGATAGGAGTGATTGATGTCAGGAGCAGGATTTGAACCACCAACCTTCAGCCGAGGGGACATAAACGACTCAGCTCCTACCGCCTAAAAGGGCATTATACAAAAATGTTAACTATTGAAGTGCTCATGGCTTTTTGGACGTCGACTAGAGCGACGCAGGAAAAAGGATACAAGCTTGTAGGGAATGAAAGAATTGTTTGAAGACAAAATATTCTGCATTGTTTTTGGCCAATAAAGAAACAAGACTGGTTTTGCAGTTTTTCTCAGTCGCTTTGGTGCATTTCTCTGATCAGACTTAAAACTATTAGTTCAACCTCCAGAACATTGAGTCATGTGTGACATCATCGCAGCAGTTTCTCCTTTGAACACTTTACAAATGCTTTTGTTCATGTATCAGTTACTTTCATACAATTCTCTGCTGTTTTTTAACATTTTCTCTTGTCCTGTCAGAATGAAACATATTTATGACTTCTGAATAGTCTTTCCCTATAAAACCAATAGTCCTAATTTCATCACTTTGGTCATTACTTACAAAATTGTTGAACTATTTCTCAAAATCAAAATCTGTCAAACTAATTTCATGCATTCCTTTATCATTTTTTTCCTGTAAATCTTTCCTAAATTGAACAGTGTCTCTCAGGTGAATTTCACCTTCACTCATGAGGAGGAGTGTGTTTTATCGTTTACATTTGTCACAGTTCTACCATCATGAT